GTGCGCTCATTTGCTCTTAAAATACTCCGTAATTTTTGGTCATATAGATAAAAGTAATACATCTTTCAAATCTGTAAAGACTCTACATTTATTTGTGTGCACTCACAATAACAACGAAACGTTGCGCTTCTGTAAAACAATTAAAGCAAACAGGATGCCATCTCGGTCTCTGTGAACTTGAGCGAGAAACTTCGAAACTCCGTGTATGAAAAAAATATATCTATAGAGAGTGAAATGTCTACTTTCAAAAAAAAATAAAAATCAAATAGAAAACGTATCTGTTAGCATGGATGATTTACATGAAATTTAATGTGTGTGCAGTGCACACTGTGCATTGTTTAAGCTGGCTTTCAGTTCAATAAAATAACAAAAAACTACATTTATTCAAATAAGGTGGTCATGCTGTGATCTGTAGCATACTGTATTTTTACTGTAACTGACACGGGAGTGGGAGGGAATGGGAGTCTTTCTCCAGGGATTGGGATGGGAGGGGATTTTCGATCCCCCAGTTTTTTCGTGGGATTGGGATGGGACGGGATTTTTTTTTGTGGGAGTGGGACGGGAGAGGTTTGAAAATCCACTCCCATGTCACCCTCTAGTACAGACATTTATAGGTTACAAATCATAATTTAAACCTCGGTCCCTTTGCATACCCAATGAAAGTTAAACCACCAAACTATCTTTTCTAGTAGTCACTGAAAGAAGTACCAGTACTGGCGCCTCTTTGAGAAGATTTTGTGCATGATGCTCCTTGTTACATAATGCAGTTTCTTTATAACTAACCAACAGAACTGTTCTTAACAGAACAGCATTTAATCAACATGTGATTAACCTTCTTATAACTTCCACTGTGTATGAAGTCTCATCTCCTCCTTTCTCTTCAGACTATTGTCACTGCTCTTTTCTTTAGCATGTCTCACCTCACAGCCTCTGCCCTCCCCACTGTTCTCACCCTAAAATGGCTTCCCAGGCACCTGCCAGAGACAGCTGGCCATGACAACTTAACAAAACCATCCATCAAGGGCAAATACATCAGCAGGATTACAGGAGGGCATAAAAAATCCTTTATGTGGCATTAGGGAAATATTCTTATATAATGCGTGGTCTTTTGCAGTGACATAATACTCACTACACTGCCACAATTACATAAGAACTACATCCCCCTGACCCTAAAACAAATGAATTACACACCTACCCCATGAATTATGACTGCGGTTATGTTTATTTCCTGATATGTAAAAATTTTTTTACATTTAAAATTGAAATTCAGTTGAATAAAAATTCAAAAGGTTGAAATTCAAATTTGAATTACAGTTCTGCATCCTGCTTACTACCTAAAATATAAGTTAAATTTAAAAGGTATTACCAATTCAGTTGTAAATGTCACATGAGCCTGAAAAAGACAGTACTGATTGTAAATATAACTGAAATTTTAAAATGACGTAAACATAACCAGATGGTCTTAAAAGATACATCGCAACCAATTATCACAACAGTCTACTTGTTAATGAATACAATAGCTCAGAGCTAAGCCACCCAAAGATATTTTTGCTCATAAACATCCGACACCGACTCTGCATGGATCTAAGCAATGAGTTGACAGGAAATGCATTTTCTTGCTTGCCTTTTTGTTGCTTGTCATGACTGTGGCAGCTTGTCTATCAAAGACACTTACATGAGCTTTAAATGCCGTGAGTTGATTGGCGGAGAGAAGCTGTTGTTAACACATAAAGTGTTGATTAAAACCTTACATCAAACAGATCCAGTAACACTGTATTCTGTCTTTATCAAATGCCAGTTATGAACAACCTGCAGTGAAGTGTAATAGTATTTACTAGCATCTGTGTCTTATGAGGCAGAGTTACAAATATATTTTTATACTTTATGAGTGTATGAGGTAACATTGCATGGTGCAGTTTATAATACAGCAGAATGTATTACTGGATTCAGGGTTTATGTAAAAGTGGAGTATTACGACATTACTGTATGTTTTGACATAACTTATGACTTCTGGCAGCTCCTTTTTTTCTCAAAGAGAGAGTGCGTCATGGCATTATGATGATGGCTGTGTCTGCCTGCAAAGTGTTTTGTAAGGGAACCCAAACATGCATTTAAATTGGTTTTATTCAAGTCAAAATATTTTTTACATGACCAAAGCAACCTGAATGCATTAGGTTGTGTTAGGTAAAAATAGTTGGTTCCTGTATAATTCTTTTGGCAATGCCCAAGTAATTAAGCTTGTTTAAGAACAAATAGTTCTCACTTGTTCTGTTAGTGTCTGTATGGTTTTTGAGGACAGCTAGTGCTCTAGATGTTCCTAATTTAGGATGGTCCTGTTATGTTTTAATGTGTCTGCGGCTGTTAAAACAGGTCTGTGCCATCTGACCTGATGTTCGCTTGACCTGAGACTTCACCACAAGGACAAGCAGCCATCAGTGTACGCTATTCACAGAATATATTTATTTTCCATCTTCCTGTGCTTTCCTTCTTACATTGCAGTATATAAAATGAATCCACCCATCTCTAATTAATAATAGAAACACACACATACAGTATATATGGCCAAAGGGTTGCAATAATTTAGATTTATGAATTATTTTAAAAAGATTGATTTCTGGAGGATCATGTGACACTGAAGACTGCAGTAAAGATGCTGACAATTCAGCTTTGACATCACAGGAATAAATTACATTTTAAAATATATTCAAATAAAAAAAAAAGCGTTATTTAAATAGTAATAATATTTCACAATAGGCATTAGCACCACTGCAGTACTGTCCCTACCCCCTGATGGGAGGAAGAGAGAGAGAATTCAGGGCAGCATTGGACTTTGAAGGAAGCGAAGCAGAGCGAGAGAGAGAGAGAGAGAGAGAGAGAGACCCTTTGAAAAGAAGCAAAAGCTATAATGCAGCAGTCTGCAGCCAGCTCCACTCATGTCTACACAAAACAGATCAGTCTGTCCATGACAGTGGGCCCGGAATGGGTTTGCATTCACAATTGACAATTCAGCTTTGACATCACAGGAATAAATTACATTTTAAAATATATTCAAATAAAAAAAAAAGAGTTATTTAAATAGTAATAATATTTCACAATAGGCATTAGCACCACTGCAGTACTGTCCCTACCCCCTGATGGGAGGAAGAGAGAGAGAATTCAGGGCAGCATTGGACTTTGAAGGAAGCGAAGCAGAGCGAGAGAGAGAGAGAGAGAGAGAGAGAGAGAGAGAGAGAGAGAGAGAGAGAGACCCTTTGAAAAGAAGCAAAAGCTATAATGCAGCAGTCTGCAGCCAGCTCCACTCATGTCTACACAAAACAGATCAGTCTGTCCATGACAGTGGGCCCGGAATGGGTTTGCATTCACAATGCATGCGTTCGCTGACTGTTTCAGAACCATGGAGAGCTCCACTGATACCAGCAGCTCAATCAGCACCACGGACAGAGTCTCTGCTACAACCGCTGCAATTCAATCATGACACTTATACCACGGTGCATTTAATAAGAGAGCTATTTACTCAACTGCCTCAATTTGTAACGTGTGTGAAACACACAAAACGTTTCAGCACTAATGAGTGCAGGTTCTGCTGTACTGCATGGGGCTGATAAGAACGCATGCGAGAAGAGGTCAGGTACAAGCTAATTTAATTCCTCTCTCACGGGCTGGAGCTGAGCTGTACCTGTAGGCACGAAGCTCTTTTAGAGACTGAGATCTTGCATCTAAGACCCCCTTTCCACTTTTCCAAGAGGTTAACAACATGAAATGCACCGAAGGTCTGCTTTTGTTAAAACGCTCCAATTATTCCCAAGGATCTACGACACAGGGAGCCGAATCCACTGCCTGCGGAAACGAAATACGATTAAGAAACAGAGAGACAGACTGAGAAAAGGACAGACAAGCAGTCTCGTCCTATACATTGTAAGAAAAAATCTATAGAAAAATGACTGGTATTGGTCATTTTTTGCAAGGACATTATCTGTTAATTTTAACCCTAAAAAAACACAATGCAATGCAGGTGTCAAAATAGGAGTAAAACACCTGTGAAAAATGAATATGTAAAATTCCTTCATGCACTGTAAAAACTGGTAACCAGCAATTGTTACCTTAAAGAGGTATTTCTACCTGATTTAACCAATAGAAATAAGTTCTATTGGTATAAATGTAGGTATTTAGGTTGATTAAGTGATGTTAATTTTAATAATGTTGA